CTCAACAATTCGGGCCACCACCATAATTTATCAAAACCCAAGCCAAACACTTATTGGACAAGTCCAAATCATTATTTCAATCTCCTCATTCAGTTAAGTTTCGAGCACAAGACAAAATCTTTCGCACTCTAACCTGTGCCATTATAACTTATCTCAAACTCAATTATAATTTCTATTCACATCATCATATATTAAACCATGTTCCGTCCAAAATTCACGAGCATTTCCTCAAGAAAAGTAACGAGTACTCAAGTATAAGAAGTCATACTAAGAAACTTCACGACTCAGACCATACGCTCCCAAACGAAAATCAACAAAGTCATATCTTACGGGTACCACTTTCAAGATTCACAACGTACGCTCCAAAATAGCACTTAACTTACAAACCAATCTCACAATCCGGTATCCTAATCTTTAAGTCTAGGATACACTACAGAGATCTGAATCCTTAACTCTGATACCAACTGTGACGACCCAACCTCCCCCTAAGGTGTACCAAAGGGTTCGGTGGACCGCCTGCCCAACTCTCGCCATGACTCACTCACTTGTATCTCATGCATACATCTATAGACAAGAAATAACATCGCAATTCAAACTTATAATATATATATCGATGCACAAATCAAGATACAAAACTTCTATACACCCAAAATATTTCGAAGTGTTTACAATTCAAGTAAAACCAACCCTAGTCGGGTGCTAGCGCGAGCACAGTTACAAAATTCAAAACAACTAAACTACGCTAATCTGTACACGTCTCACGCCTCGCTCGTACCCCCTGTAAGGAAAACTAATTGAGTGGAATGAGTTAAAAGCCCAGTGAGGTTCCAAATAGCAAGTTGACCATTATTTAAAGGTACACTTATCAACGTAGCAAAAGATAGCGAGCATAACAAGTTCATAAAAGTGAACACTAACACTTCAAGTAGCAAATTTCCAAATGAACGAGTGTAAAGTACTTTTGGTTTTCAAAAGAAACAATAATCCAATAAGCAATAATCATTTTCAAGTATAAGGATACAGATGGCTCTCAGGAGCCAAGTTTCCATTGCTTCACCAGAGTTTGATCAAATATTAGTTGATACTCCGTCAACTTTTAAGTAAAGTAACCAATCCAGTAGAGCACCACTTAACTCCAATCTCCGTCCACCAACATAGTATCGTAATATCGCCTTGGAGACTAAGCAACAATAGTATCCTAAAAGTTAGGGTATCACAAAGCTATTGCACGAGAACATAGAACTGAAAAGGCAATGCGAAGGGATTTTGGTAGAGACTTTGGCAAGGGCACAAATTAATACTTTTACGGAAGTTCCAGAGAAAATCCTAAGGATAGAAATTTCAGGTACAAAGGTGAAGGCCTTCCATGCAAAGAAAAGGGGTGCACTTAGTGAAATTCAAAGGCAAGAACAAGGTGATTCAGGTAGACCACTCGCTAAGATAGGTAGAGGAACTAGTGGTGTTAGAATTTTGGGGTCACCTAACGAAGATACTCCAGGAGGGGCCTTACCAGGAGATCAAATCTCAATTTCACACCTATCTTGCGGCTATTGTGAAAAAATCAATCATACTGAGGTGAATTGTTAGAAAAGAAGGAGAAAATGCCTGCGTTGTGGGGGAGCCAATCATCGGGTTGCTAACTGCCCAGTTGTACTATGCGAAGGGAAAAGAACCCAGCAACCAATTAAGACTAACCCTGGACATACGAAGGGGAAAGGGACTGGATCGAAAGTATCGGCTCGGGTGAATTCCCTAGAGTAACTTTAGGTCTCTGACTCGTCTAAGGACGTAGAAGGTATGATCCGCCATCTAACGCAGATTTTGATAGATTCCGTTAAAAAGGAAATTTCGAGTATGAAATTTCTTTAACACGGAAAAAGTGTGAGGACCCGTAAAGTTCCTTTATTTTATATTATTTTATTTTATTTTCTCTCATGCATTTTCTTCACAAAACCCTATGAGATTTATTTTTAAGAGATTTTATAAGTGAATAGAGTTTTTAAATCATTTTACTGATATAAGTTAGTTCATATTAAGTTTGGAGTGCATTATGGACGTGGGAACCACTCGTACATTAAGTGAAAGAAATTCGGCCAATTAGGTTAAGTTTTACACAAAAGTATTAAATTACTAGATGTTAGGAGATAATTAGAGGTTACCTAGATGGATTAACTATGGGGAGACAAGAAGATAACTTTAAGCATAAAAAGTGCCACGTGCCGCGTTTCTATTCGAAGTTGGACTTGCCTAACTTTTTTTACCTTTACTAAAACATCAATTTTGACCAAGTTTTCTTCATTTTATTTCCTCCCTTGACCGAACTGTGACTGCCCCATCTCCCCCTAAGGCGAACCAGAGGGTTCAACGGACCGCCTGCCCAGTTCTCGCCAGGACTACGGAACCGAAACATATCAAACGCACCTAACTTACGAGATAAAGTTCAATAAAATGAGCGATCAACCCTTATTAAGTTGCTCTTCTTCCAGAAAGGTTACCACGAATGAAAGTACAGTGCTCGAGCACTTAAATCGGTCAAGAAAACGAAAACGAAAATTTGCCGCGGATGAACAGTAACGGCCACGTCACTATCCGGCCGGATTTTTGGCCGGATATGAGATAGTGGCCAACTCCAAAGGGATTCAAAACCCCCTGCCAATCCGGCCGGTAATCCGGCCAGAAACTGGCCGGATTGCGGCCAGAGGCCAAAACCCAAAATTTTTTCCTCCCCTGCATATCTGGCCTTGTATCCGGCCAGAATTTGGCCGGATTCTTGGCCAGATTTGGTGAACAGTAACCTCGCTCAAATTTTCCTTCTTCGCTCAAATTCGATATTCGTCTCAAAACATGCCAAACTCGTAGGGCAGTTAATCAATAACTTGATATATACATGTCACAACATATCCATGTCATATACATATGAGTAAATTCAATTGTTAATCCCATATTTACATTATACAACTCAAAAGATACTTGAATTCAAATACATCAAGGTTTTTCCAAATATTTGAGGAGCGATTCAAAAGAACAAAATGCCTAACTAGCTCAACTCGTTTTCTCAAAACTTGGTTCCGAAAGTATTCCTGTAAGGAAAACAAAACAACGAGGGTGAATTTACGCTCGTGAGGTACCAAAACTCACAAGTACACAATACATGGCCAACAAACACACAAATGCCTTCGTCATAGCAACCACATATAAAAGGATACGGTCGGCCCTCAAGGGCCGGTTTTCAATTGCCGTACTTGATCGTACCCGTTGACACTCCGTCAACCGTTGATGAGAAAACAAGACCGTAGACTCCTCTTTACTCCATTTCCTTCCATCATTCACCCCCCTACTGGGCCCGAACACCTCACAGTAACAAAAGGTAATACTCGAGTATACCATATGGTCGAGAAGTTAACACTCCACTCGACTAATAGTGACCCGAAGGTTCGTTATCGATTAGCCCAAGCCCTTGCCGACACGACTCGAATAACAACCTAGGGAAATGAGCTCAAATTTCACAGTAATAATCAGACATAGCTCTAGCAGATGCCAAATCATGCACACATACCATTTCACAATCAAACAGTAACAATAATACAAATAAGGGATCGAGAGCGATAAAGTACACTTTCGTCCCATTCAAGTCATTCAAGTCACATAAGAAGTATAATCGACCATACAATGATACACTCACCGAAGTAATCAAGCAATTCACACGTTCGCGTCAGACGTAGGCCCCGGATCACCGGTACGACCTAAAACAAGCAAGAAAGCATGTTTGAAACTCAATCACGAGTCAACGTATTAACATTAAATTACTAGTATAAGATACCCAAAAGTAAAATGAGGTGACAATAGTGTGGAACGTGGACAACTCCAAGATTCTTCCATTTCTAGTCAAATCCCTATCAATTCAAGACCACCCACATTTCTTATCAATTGGGCGGCACTTCCCCATAATTTCCTCACATTTCCAACCTAACCATCAACACCCAACTCATACAAATACAACTACATGTTATAGGCTAGTCCATTCACCTTATTTAAGTCACAATACCCTCAAGTATACATCAATTACTAGTATAAAAGTCATGCATAGAAAAGTCCCAAATATTCATAACTCTAAAACTGAAATTTCTTACAAAAGTGGAAATTTTCCGCAATCAACTACCATTAACACATAGAGGCTCTCAATTATTCAATATAAGGCTATCATATCTTAGCCAACTATCATCAACTATATAAAACAGAGAAATTCCCAATAAATAGAAAAATTAGACAACTCAACCATAATTCATGAAATACTACACAAAATTGCATCTTTAACCACTAACACCTACTAATTTCACATCATAACCAACAAATAAACAATTCCTTAACCACTCACCTTATAAATACAAGATACAAGGTAGATAAGAGTCTTTCCATCCAAACAAAACCACCAAGCACTTCAATTCTACCTAACAAATAGGTTTTATGGAGAAATTTGGGAGATGAATAGTGAGATTCCAAGATTTGAGCAAGAAATGAAGAACCAAGGTTGGAAGTTTTCTCTCTTCTTCTCTCTATGATGGTCGGCCAAGAGGAGGGAGAAAATGAGGGGATTTTTGGGTCAAAATTGATTATAAGGAAAGGTAAAGCAAATAGTCAAAAGTCCAACTTCCAATAGAATTGCAACATGTGCCCCTTTCAAGCTTACCCCACTTCCTTGTCTTGTAATGCTTAATTAAATTAGCTAACCTCTAATTAGCTCATAATACAAGGAAATAAAATCTCCATATATAAAATTTTTCTCAAGCACATTTACTGTACCAACCGCACTAGTGGGTCCCACACCCACTGTACACCTTTATTACCACAAAAAATAACTTATTTCAAGAAAATGATTTAAAATTCATATTTTCTCATAAAAATCCCCAAAAAATGCACATATTAAGGAAAACACTAAAATTAAGCCCAAAAACCTAAAATAAATGCCTAGAAAATAAGAAAATTTTCGGGGTCTCACACACTCTTCCCCTTAAAGAATTTGATCCTCGAAATTTCTCGCCTGAGTCATTAAACAGTCCAAGGTATTTCTTTTTCATCTCCTCCTCCGTCTCCCAGGTCGCTTCTTCGACTTCGTGATTCTTCCACAGAATCTTCACCAGTGGAATTTGTTTATTCCTCAGCTTCTTAAAATTTCTATCAAGTGCTCGCATAGGTCTCTCCTCGTAGGTAAGGGCTTGGTCAATTTCAATCTCCTCCGGTTGCACAATGTGAGTTGGATCGGAATAGTACTTTTTGAGCATTGACACATGGAATACATCGTGAATCCGTAACAAGTTGGGCGGCAACTCAAGTTTGTACGCTACTTTCCCAACTCGTTGAAGAATCGGAAAAGGTCCTACGAATCTAGGTTGGAGCTTCTTTCCTCTGCTAGCAGTGACGCTCCGCAATGGGGTAATCTTAAGAAAAATATGGTCTCCGACTTCAAATTCCAGATCTTTCCTTCGGTTATCTGCGTAACTCTTCTGGCGACTTTGAGCTGTTTGGAGTCTCTGACGGATTAACTTGATCTTTTCTTTGGCATCCTCCATCTAAGGAATGATAATAGGGTTTAAGATCTTCTTTTCTCCTACTTCATCCCAATATATCGGTGAACGGCACTTTCGCCCATAAAAAGCTTCATATAGTGCCATTTGGATCGACGAATGATAGCTATTATTGTAGGCGAACTCCACTAAAGTCATATGCTGACCCCAACTACCCCCGAAATCTAGAATACAAGTGCGTAATATATCTTCAAGGGTATGAATCGTCCGCTCCGACTGTCCATCCGTCTGAGGATGATAAGTGGTGCTTAAATTCAATTTCGTCCCCAAAGTCTCCTGAAACTTTTGCCAAAATCTGGAAACGAAATGAGGGTCTCGATCAGAAACTATACTCACAGGAATCCCATGTAATCTTACAATCTCCTCCAAATACACTCGACCTAACTTGTTCATGGAATACCTCATACTCACAAGTAAGAAATGAGCCGACTTGGTTAACCGATCAACGATTACTCAAATGGCATCATGTCCCTTTTGGGTTCTAGGTAGTCCAGAAACGAAGTCCATGGTGATGTGTTCCCATTTCCATTCGGGTATCTTTAGAGGCCGCAGTAGTCCAGAAGGTTTTTGGTGTTCGGCCTTAACCTGCTGGCATACTAGACAAGTTTGTACATATTGAGCTATATCCCTTTTGATCTTGTCCCACCAGTACAATCGTCGTAAATCCTGGTACATTTTGTTACTACCCGGATGAATTGTATATTTGGATCGATGGGCTTCCTCCAAAATTTCTCTTCTCAAATTCTCATCTATAGGCACCACAATCCGATTTCTAAATCTCAAAATCCCTTCAGAGCTTAGATTGAAATCCGGAATTTCTCCTTTCTTCACCTTTTCTATCCACTTCTGAACGGTCGGGCCTTAGTTTGAGCCTCCTTAATTCTATTCAATAAAGTGGATGTCACTCGTATGTTACCAAAGGTTATCTTCTTATGTTCCATCTTTGGATTCCACTCTCCAACGGTTTCCAACATCTCCCATTCTTTCAACATTAACCCTGAAATCTGAGCCTTCCTGATGAGGAGGTCGAGAGGGCTATCCAAGTGGAGCGAGTGAAGGTGCCATTGGGGCCCATGACACGAGCCCGCGCGAAGAGATTGAATGAAGCACTACAAATATTGGTTCGTGCAGCCCGAGCATCCAGTGGAGAGCCAAAGGCTATTGAGGGCCTCAACGAAGCTAGATATGTCATCTTACTCGCGGCCAGTCAAGAGGATTAGCTACCCAAGATTCAGCCACGGGCCCATCCACTATCAGTTAGTAGAATGTAATAAAGAGATCCAACACGCCTATGGGTTGGACCTTAGTCGTTGTTAGTCTTTGGCTATAGGCTAGGCCATGTGGGCCACCTTTGTAGCCTAGGCTATGCCATAGGCTAGGCAACGCCCCCGGAGCTTTTGGCTAGTGGTGGCCCAAAGGGAAGCCCAAGGGCTGGCCGCCTTTCCTTCAACGTTTACAAGCTTTGGTAGGTTTTGGTTACGGTTACAAATAGCCTTAAGTCGTTGTTTACATTCAGTTTTTGGACGATTAATAAAATTACAATTGAGAGTTCTCTCAAGAGCTTCATTGAAGCACCTTGAATATCTTAGATCTATATCTTGGGTATTCAATCGACTTATCAATCTAGGACCGCGCTAGATTGTGGCGTCTTCTACAAATATCGAGGTTCGTTGACCACGTGATCAACGGGTTTAGGTGATCCGCTGCGTTCGTCATCTTCAACGTGAGTCTCTACCTTATAGATCCAAGCCTTTTGTACGGGTTGCATCACATGGTTGGTGCCGTTCGTATCACTTCCGACTTAGGGTATCAACTACGACATTAGCCTTACCCGGATGGTAATTGATTGAGTAGTCATAGTCTTCTAAGAATTCCATCCAGCGATGCTGTCTCATATTCAATTCCTTCTGGAAAAAAAGATATGTAAGCCTCTTATGATCGGAATAGACCTCAAAGGTTACCCCGTACAGATAGTGTCTCCACTTTTTCAAGGCAAAGACAACTGCGGCCAACTCTAGGTCATGAGTGGGGTAGTTTTACTCATGGATTTTCAGTTTCCTAGAAACATAGGCTATCACATTCTGGTGTTGCATCAATACACACCGCAGACCTTCTCTAGAGACGTCGGTGTAGACAGTGAAACTGTCCTTACTGTTAGCCAAGGTCAGAATAGGGGCCATGGTCAACCTTCGCTTCAACTTCTGAAAGCTATTTTCACACTTCTCACTCCACAGAAACCGACCACCCTTCTTCGTTAAATCAGTTAAAGGACTGGCAAGTTTTGATAAATCGTCGGTAATAACCTGCCAATCCTAGAAAACTCCGGATTTCAGTAGGATTGTCGGGTCTCTTCCACTCAGTCACTGCCTCTATCTTGGCCGGATCTACAGCAATTCCTTCTTTTGAAATCACGTGCCCCAGGAAAGAAACCCTCTCTAATCAAAACTCGCACTTACTAAATTTCGCGTACAACTGGTGACCCCTCAGGATTTGTAAGACCTCTTTCAAATGTTGCACATGCTTCTCACGGGTTGTTGAATAAACCAAAATGTCATCGATAAAGACAACGACAAATCGGTCCAAATAGGGTTTGAAAATCCGATGCATAAGCTCCATAAAAGCGGCAGGGGCATTGGTCAGCCCAAAAGGTATCACGGCGAATTCGTAATGCACATATCGAGAATTGAAGGCAGTCTTAGGCACATTTTTCTTCCTAATCAACAATTGATAGTATCCTTGTCGGAGGTCTAGTTTCGAGAAAACTACCGCACCTTGCAACTGATCAAATAACTCATCAATGTGGGGTAGTGGATACTTATTTTTAATGGTCATATTGTTCAACCCTTGGTAATCGATACACAGTCTCAAGGTCCCGTCCTTCTTTTTAACAAAGAGAATAGGTGCCCCCCAAGGTGATCCACTCTTATGAATAAAACCCCGCTCTAGAAGGTCTTGCAATTGCAACTTCAACCCTTTGAGTTCTGCAGGTGCCATTCGGTAGGGAGTCTTGGAGATGGGAGAAGTCCCCGGTAATAAGTTAATTTCAAACTCAAATTCTCTTTCCGGAGGTAGATTCACCAATTCATCGGAAAAAATGTCTGGGTATTCACTCACTACTGGAACATCTTCTATTTTCAGTTTATCGGTAGGAGTGTTAATGAGAAAAGCTAGGAACCTTTGTGCCCCTTTACTCAGTAGTTTCCTAACCCGAATACCTGAAATCATAGTAGATGAGGCTAGACTGCTCCTCACATCTAACCTCAAAATTGCCTCCCCAGGGATATGAAATTCTACTATTTTCCTCTTACAGTCTAGTTGGACATTATATCGAGCCAACCAATCCATGCCCAATATCACATCGTACCCCTTAATGGCCAAACTTATCAAATTCCCCAACAACTTTCTCTCTCCTACCCAGATTTCATAATTTGTATACATTTTGCTAGAAATCAAACATTGGTCCCCCGTAGGAGTACTAACTTCCAGCTCATAGGGTAGGTTAACAAGGTTTATATTGATTCCACACATAAACTCGGGGTTAACAAAGGAACGGGTGGTACCAGGGTCTATCAAAATTCTACCTAGGTGGTAGAAGACAGGGATCGTACCTTCCACCACCTCTGCCGAGTCAGGAACCGGACGTTGCTCAATGGAGTATACTCGAGTAGGCACCTTTGATTTTGCTCCTTCTACTCGTGACTGAACTGAGGTAGCCTTTGACGACTGAGTAATTCCCCTCACTTCTCGAGACTGGACCGGACAACTGGCGAGCCGGTGCTCCGCACTCCCACAGCGTAAGCACTTGTTTTGCTTCCTCCAACAGTCATCCTCCGTGTGGTTTGGTTTCCCACAGAAGCTAAACGGGCCACGAAAAACGGTGGCCGAACTCCCTTGCGAGGCACTCCTCTGCTGGCCTCGCTCCGTTTGGCCACCTCGGGGTAGAGTCCCTCTTGCAGTACCCAAAAAATGTCCCCCTCCGGCTCCCCTTCCCTTCCAAATTTGAGAGGGGTACTCTTATCCCCTTGAGTTGAGCTACTCCCGGAAGCTCCTCGTTTTCTATTTTGAAAATTTCTCACTTGAAACCTGGCATTCTCAGATCGTAAAGCTTTCTCAACGACATCACTAAAGGTGGTGATTTGGGCCACGGCCAAATCCTTTTGAATTTCTACGTTAAGCCCCTGAAGGAAACGTCTCGCCCTCCTTTGTTCCGTCAGAATGAGTTCAGGGGCAAACTTGGACAGTCGTGTGAATTGGCTCTCATATTCGGCCACCGATTGAGTGCCTTGGCGTAGACGAATAAATTCGTCTTCCTTTTTCTCCTGGACCAATGGCGGAAAGTACTTGGCATTGAATTTCCTTACAAAATTCACCTATGTCCTTGGCATCTGTTTTCGCTCCTACTTCGTCCGAATAATGTTCCACCAAGAGCGAGCAGCCCCTTCTAATTGAAAGACCGCAAAGGTGACCTACTTTTCTTCTGAGTAGTGTAGGGCGGCAAAAATATCTATTATCTTCTCCAGCCACTGTTCGGCCACGTCCAGATCGGGCCCTCCAAGAAACTTGGGTGGAGAAAATTTTTTGAAACCGTTCGAGAGCTCGATCCTCGCTCTCGACATGATTTCCCAGATTTCCAAGGTTACCAACTGGTGGATTAGGGTTAGGGCCCTGTTGTTGCACCACCTGGGTTAGGAGATCGGTCATCCGCTGGATAGCAGCGGCTACCTGAATATTGGAATCGATTTGGGGTTCAGGATTTGGTTCGGGCATAGCAGTCCCCATACCCTGTTCAGTCGTGGGCTACCTACCCCCACGTCCACGGTTTCGGCCACTACGAGTGCCTTCCATCGATTTATGTCAATCTAGGGTCGAGGCACAATTATAGCATTAGAAAAGCAGATAACCCTTCACATATAATAAGCACAGACAATTATTCAATCAAATACCACCTAAAGGATAGAAACACATAGAACATATATTCATATAAC